TAGGTGAGATCCAACACCAAGAAGAGGAACAACCAAAACATGTATCTTAAAGGCCGCATGCACACTGGTAGTAGACTCCAAATGTGGCTCTGAAATTTCCAGAAAATTAAAGAGGTTAATACAATCAATTACATAATTCACAATATCCATAAGATAAAAACCAAATGAGGTAATAAGCAAACACACAGCTACATCTAATATTAAGAACTGAGAGAAAGAACACCATGTAGTGTACTGAAAATGGGCTCATCAACATTCTCAGTTAATACAAAAGTCAACAAGGCTTTCAATAACAACAATGTAAAAAGCACACATTAGCAAAAGGAATAATAATAAGAATCAAACTAATTTTGCCTAGGTCCATAAGTGTCTAACAATACAGCTTACATAGAATGTTGAGAGGAATTTATGTTCTCCATATACTCCAAATAAATCATATTTCTAACAGTCAAACTTCAAATAAAGGTTAAATAAGATTATATTCTTAGAGAAATACCAAGATGAAAGTGATTTGCTAACATATGCTTTAACAGTTAACTGAGCTGGGGTAACAGTGAACTTCATCGTATGCAAACTAAAGAGGTAAACAGACACATGTATGAATAAATTTCAATAGCACAGGAAAGTGTGCCAAAGGGTATACCCTCAGGCAATGCCTTTAGATAAACAGGAAATCAAAATAAGGATAAATGGGATATCAAATATGCCAAACACTACAACACAAAGTGATTGCTTGAAAACTAATTTTAGCCTAGAATTCTTTTTTTAAATAAAATCTTACAAAAAAAAGACCTTAAATACTAAACAGCTGATCAAATAAAAGTTGACTGATATAAGGGGCCACTCCCTCAACTTGTCTTCTAATCACTATGGATACAGTGAAAAATAAGAGTACACCAAAAAAATCCCTGTCCTCATGAATCCATGTTCTAACGAAGGTGACAGACAAGAAACACGATAAATAAGAATCACATATATTAGATAGTAGTTAGATATTAAAAAAAGAAAAAGAAAGCAGGAAAGGTGAATAGAAAGTGTCATGGGAGGGAGAGGGTTGCAACTTTAGACAAGGTGACCGGGAGAGGTCACAGTGAGAAGCAGACATGGAGCGAGGACCTGAAGAAAGGGAAGGAATGAACTATGAGGATATATATGGAGGAAGGGCAGCCCATGCAAGGAAACAAGTACAGAGGCCCAGAGAAGGAGCTCACCTGGCACATTCATTACAGGAGCAGCGAGGCCACTGAGGCTGAATGAGGGGAAGAGAGGAAGTCAGAGAGGTAATGTGAAGCCAGACCACAGAAAGCCTTATAAATCAGTAAAGAAACTGGCCTCTAGTGTGAACCAGAGAGAAACCCACTGAAGGGTTTTGAGCAAAGGAGTGACCAGATCTGACTTAGATTTTAATGTGATAATGCTAGCTGCTATTGAGAATGTCCTTTATTCTCCAGAAAAGGGTTGACAAACCACAACCTGAGAGCCAAATCTGGCCCCGCCTGTTTTTGGAAATAAAGCTTTATTTGAACACAGCCCCGCTCATTCGTTTACATATTGTCTATGGCTGTTTTCACAATCAATGGCAAAGTTAAGTAATTGCAATATAAACCATAGGCCCCCAAAGCCTAAAATATTTACTATCTGGGTCTTTATAGAAAAAATTTGCCATTCTCTGCTCCAGAAAAGCAAGGGTGGAAACAGTTAAGTGGTTATATTAATCTGGGTGACAAAGGATAACTTGGACTAGGGTAGCAGCAATGAATTTTGTAAGAAGTGGACATATTCTAGACATATTTTGAAGGTACAGCTGATAGGATTTGCCAAAGGATTAGAAGTAGAGTATGAGAAAAAGTGATCTGAGTAACTGTCATAGAGTTCATCTAGAATAATTTAAAAAATAAAGTATAAGTTATCGAATGCCTAACACAGTCACATAAAGGTATCACTGAAGATCCCATATAAAATGTCTAACTTTAAGCAATGTAACTTCTTGATAATTCATTAAAAATTATTTGATCCACCAAGAGCCCATTCCAACCAATCTCAGTTCTCCTAGCAATATTAAGGCATCAGTTCAATAGCCAAAGATCTAATTTGAGCCCTTGAAATTTAATCCAGGAATGATTTCAGTCCATTAAGTCAAAGGTTGTGGGAAAAATCAGTAAAATCTATAAATAATCTTATATTGTTTCAAAGAGAATTTTCTACATAGTAACAGAGTATATAACATGTTCAATAGTACCAAAATCAGACTTTACCACAGAAGAACCAACTACCATATGGTTTAGATGGCATATAAATAACCTTAAGGCTAACTGTATGACGTGAAAAATAATAATGTAAGTTTCAGTCAGTATAACTGAACCTGTGCTATGTAGCTCAGTTTTAATAATAGTAAGATACATTTTGTCATAACATGGTTTGAATATTCTAAATAATCTGCAATTTTCACAAAGTGGATCAAAAAGAATAGAAATTTCAAATAGATCCTCACCACTGAGATAAAGTACTATGTCAAAAGGCTATAAAAAATCATGAAAAATATAGCAAGGTGTATGACATCACTGGATGAAACTGAGGCACTTCTCTTCTTCAACCTTTCTTTTACTGCCTATACAAAACAGTCACCAAGAAGTAAGAAATCCAACTTAATAAACCAGTATTTAAAAAAGAAAAAAAAAAAAGCTTTCTAGAATGCCATATAAAACTGAAACAGAAGATATGCCCACAAACAATAGATCTGTTTTAATTTAAAATTTGTTTTTTAATTAAATATCTATTACATTACATGAATCTTAATCTACAGAAGCATAACCAGGAGAAACAGCCAAGACCTTCATTTTAACAGAATGATTACTGTCAGGAGCAAACCTCACTGATATTGATTCATGCAAATTCTTTGGCTGTAGAACATTTTTCAGAAATCTTTCTTGTTTTCCAATTCTATAAATGTTTATAACAAGAAACCAAAAACATATGTAAATATGCTTTAAATCATTTCCCCAAAAAGAGTACACTTATCAAGGTAGTGAATGGGGGAAAAAGTCACATTTTATTATTCCAGCACCCAGAATTCCTACCTAATCAATCAAAGGAGGGAGCAAGGCAAGGAAAAAGCCTTAGGCCCAGTTTCCACAACCTGATTTATTTTAGCTTTCCCTGATTAGCTAACAGATATAGAAAGACTATAAACTGAAAACCATTTATTTAATGTAATATTGTGTTTTGTTTGTTTCATTTCAATTTGAATGCCTTTAGACGTGGGGATGATGCACTCTCTAAATCACCATAGACCCCATTACACTCCACTGTCCCACATGTGGCTACTTCACACATTTTTGTTAATTAACTAGCTACTGTCTAACCCAAAACAATGGTGGATGGTGCTATACAAAGGGATCCAAACTACCATAGTATGAAAGGCAAAGCTCTTATCAAGTTTTAAAAGAAATGGCTACAAAGAACTCTTCCTGACTGTAAAGCTCAGTTTTCCAAAAGTAGAGTAATAACCTTAACCTACCAGTTCCCTGACCCAGGTGCTCACCTCGGCTTTATCTGGTCTTCTGAGTCTTACTTGCCTTGCCCCTCCACACTTCTGTCCACCATCTTGACCACCAGCCATGACTAATCCACACAACCCTATTAGATAATTATACTTCTATGTCTGCCTAATAGCTGTGAAAATGCTCAATGCTCATCCAGTACCCTTCATCAATTAATTGAAGTACAACTCATCAGAATTTGAGACTCGCCCAAAAATAGATATGTGTACCTAAAATATAATTGCTATAGGATCCATTTATTCATAAAATATATCCCTCAAAATTTGCTCAACAAATTTTCTCCATCAGATTATCCTTTTCACTTGTTTTCTGTCTATGAAATAAATGGGATAAGGTAAAAGCCCAATATAATAAACACATTTTTTACATGACACTGAAAATTTACCCAATAAAAGAAGGAATGTAACAAGAAGAGGTTTAGATACCATAAATCAATCACGAATATAGAGTAAGAATTACAGAAGAAACACTCAATCACTTGCCTATATAAAGAACTTAAAGAATCAACAAAACTTGCTCTCAGGACTCCTTAACAATCTTAAAAATTATTGAAGACCCCAAAGAACTTATGTGAGTTACATTTATAGATAGTTACCATATTAAAAATTAAAATTGAGAAATTTTTTAAATATTCATTTATTTTAAAATAACAAGCTCATTATATCTTAACATAAATAACATTTTTATGAAAAATACTGTAGTTTACACATAAAAATTTAGTGAGAAGAGTGGCACTGTTACTGTTTTACATTTTTGTAATCTCTTTAATGTCTAGATAGCTCACATAAAAGAAGAGAGCTGGATTCTCAAAACTGTTTCCACATTCAACATGTTACATGTTATATAATCTCTGGAAATCTCCACTATTGCTTGTGAGAGAACTAAGATTAAAACAAGTATATACCATTTTCATATTATTATGAAGATAGTATTAACCTCACAGACCCTTTAAAAGAATATTAAGGAGTCCCCCAAACACACTTTGAAAACAAGGACTGCTTAACCTAAAGCCAATAAACCTGGAATGAAAATTACAGAACTAAAAATAATTGTAAAGAGAGAAATGCAGATACTGAAGAGAGGGTAATGATTTTATTTAGAGAGTAACAGAGCAAGGTTATTACCCAAATACAATTTCAGATTCTCATACAAAATATGCTGACATTTTAATGCTTTAAAACACCTTGGATTATGTTCATTTTATCTGTCAGATCTCACTATAAAAATTTTAACATGTTTTCCAAATGTGTGACTTGCTTTATGACCAAAGAAACTCATGCGTATTGTTTACTCTTGAAGTTTTAGACCAGTGATCTAGGCCAATGACTTTAAAAATAAACTTGTAAATTTATTTTATGGCACTTACCTGTTGTAAGACATAAAGGGGTCATAAGAAGTCTTATGAACATATTCACCAACTGTGGGTTTAAATAAACCTACCTCTTCTGCTGCTGCCTCTGAAAGCAGACCTTCCTTCTGAGCACAGGTCACATGGAAATAGGCTCTGCACATCCCTGCATCACAGCTAATGCAAACTCCAGTTCTAGCAAAACGAGGGTCTTCACAGAAGCTACACTCCTAAGATGGAATAAAAGGAAAACTCGCAGAGTAAAAATATGTCCAGAACAAAAACTTCATTCTCATACAAAGCATGCAAAAAATACAAAGAGTGAACCAATAGTTTATCAATACAAACAATAACTGTATGCAAGCCAAGAGCTTATATGAAAAGAGTAATTCTTAATACATAGTTCTAATAAACCAAAATTCCATTGATATAATAACGATGCTAGTAATAATAATCAATATTATTTGAGGGCTTACCACACGCTAGGCACTATTCTAAGCGTTTTACAAATGTTAATATATGTAATCATTTGACACTCTAGTCCACACTAATATGTGAAAGAGCTACTACAATTATTCCCATTTTACACATGAGAAAATTGAGGTGAAGACAGGTTAAGAAGTCTGCTCAAAATAACACAATAAGTAACTGGGAGTCAGTCAGTCTCCAAACCAGAGTTAACCTTACTTTTAAGGCCATGCTCTTAACCATTAAGCTATACTGACTTGAACAATATACTACCGCTTGGAAAATGAAAGAAAATAAATGAGAAGCTAGAGAAAATTCCCCAAAAGATCTAGACATTGCAACCAAAGAAATCATGCATTCTTTAAATATCTTTAAGAGAATTAAAAGTAATCTTAAGTAAAAAATTTGGTGAAATTGGTAGTGATACACAATATAGCCAATCATTTATATTCTTTCTGTCTACAAAGAGAACAACTATAACTAAAAGTTTAAACTGTTGAAATTATCCCATATCCCCTCACAAATTTATCTTTTCATCCTTTTAACTATCTTAACCACAGTGAAAAAAAATTAGTTTCAAAATAGGAATCTTCATAAAAGAAAAATCTGCTAAACTGTGAAAGATTGCCAACAGATAATTAAGGAAGAACTGTTTAGTAAACAAGTAAATACGAGGGAAACAAAGAAGAAAATAAGAAAGTTTCAGTAGACACTAAAAATATCATTTTAATACTATAACAGTTAGTGACCACCTACTGGGCAGACAGCACCAGACTGAGACATCAGCAATGAATGAAAACAGCAAGAACAGGACTCTGGGTACAGATGTGAAAACATTCCCAAATCCTGACACTCTACTGTCTAGTTAAGGGTCCTTTTCCAAAAACAGCAGAATGTGTATGGCATAAAATAGCAACAGATAGTAATCTAAACATGAGACCAAAAAATAGAGAGAGAGAGAAAGAGAGAGAGAGAGACAAAAAGAAGAAGAGAGGGAGAGAGAGAAATGGAGAAAATAAATTATTTAAAGGATGTCAATACCATGAACAGAACCAAATCGTTTAGGATAGGTCCCTGAATTAAGTAATTTAATGTAATATGATGAAATTGAGCAAGGGATTTCAGAGTGAATACAAGGAAAAATTTCCTGACAATAAAGTCTTATAAGACTATAGAACAGTCTAACAAAGAAAACAGACTCTTTCTCAACTGCTTGAATCATTCAAAATGCTAGGGAACTAAGCAACTGAGAACACAGGGGAGAAAGTAATCAGGATTAGGAAATGCACCAACAATGTGGTCTAGAAAAGCTGTCTCAGTTATAATTCACAACACTGTGATTTTGCAGATGAGCTAGAGAGTACATAATTTTCGACTCCATTTCCCAATAATACTTTGAAACAAAAGCAGGTGATAATGAAGAAATCAGTTGACAATTGCACATTTAATGACTCTTCTTTTTGGTCCAGAAGTCACTGCTGGCTTTAGTTATATGAAGTAATATCTGATTACTGTTTTTTTTAATTGCTTCTAGATTTATATTTATGGTAATATTGTGTGCCTACTGAAAATGACTTAAGCTAGTCCCCTCTAGGCTCTGTAGTTATGAATTATGAAGCTGCTATCAAAAAGTAATAATTTCCACTTCCAATAATGGTGGACTAGGTAATTTGTACTAATCCTGCTCAACTAGAAAATGTGGACAAATTATTTTTTTTTAAACTACAGCTTAAAGGCATCAGAGAGATAACACGATAGTGTAGAATTACCTGAGGACCAGGAAAGTAAGTTCAGTGCTTGGGCCTGCTTTTCTCCATGGGGGCTCTAGCTAATTCTGGAGAGGGAAGCTGCATACAGTTCAACAGAAATTACCTAAACTAAAGCACAAGAGTACTGGAGTGAGGGTGGAGGGTGAGGGGTAGAGGTGGTGTTTAGAGCCCGAGCAGGATATTCTGGATATATTAACAGCAAATGTCAAATTTTTTAATTTTCAACATCAGAATTTTCCAACAATCTGTAAGTTCCCCACTCTACCTTTAATATGTTATGATGTTATTCAAGAGTCTTCCTTCCTAATTTCCCAATAGACAGTAATGGAAAGAGAATGTATCTGTGCCTAATTAGTTCTAGTATTCCAGAGATGTTTGTATACCTAACCTAAATTTGTATAACCTAAATTTAAAGTAAGAAGTGGGTATTTTTGTCACTTATAATCCTAAACTCAATCAATAAAAACCAATTTATAAACTATCAAGGCTGAGAATCGTTTGCCTGGCACGTTATGTAGTCATAAAGATAAAACCAGTTCTTGAAACCTGAGTAAAACAACAGGTGCTTCTTGTACTCTTTTCCTAATTTTGATAAATTCCCCTTCAAAAGTAAAGTCAGAAATTAGGTTTGTATTTGATCTAACTGATTAAAAATAAGGATCTAGTCTGAGAACTGACTACGTACTAGGCAGTATGCTAACGCTAGGGAGACAGCAGCAGTACCAATTATCAGTTTACCCCACAGGTTATTCTAAATTAAGAATACACGCAAGAACTGACACATTTTTGGCTTTCTGGGAAAATTGCTATCAATAATAAATGATTCAGTGCTAACTGCTCTACAAATTGCAATGATTACCAATAAATGTTGCTGTAAAAAGCCAAGTAAACTAACATGTAAAAACTTTCCCTTTCAGAAAATCAAAAACACTTCGTCTCACCTTGGCACCGTATTTGGAATAGTTCATTTCTGTTAGTGTTACTGGTCGTAATTTGTCAATATCTCCAAAGGCTACTCCAGGAACATACAGGGCACAAACAATGTGAACCCATCTATATGGAGAGAAGATATAATTTTTCTATCAGACCTTTTCATAAAATGTCCACACAGAAAATGAACACAAAATATGTGCCATCTCAAATGACTACTGAAAGAATTCTATGGTCAGATCTCAAAATCTCAGGCATGCAACTAAAGAATATGAAACGAGTATAGAATTGTACCATTTAGTTACAGAAAAAGAGACTGCAGTAAGCACTACTTTTCCAGCAGCTTAGCCAAAGCTGAGAGTTAACAACTGTAATTGCCTTTCACTTAAAATTCTCTGCTCTTTGCACTTACCTGTTATTCTTAAATATTTGCACAAAACCACTATTCAAATGAAACAAAATATCATTTTCATATGCATGGAAAGGTATTCACACTCATTACTTTAAGTACTTTGAAAATTAAGGATCCTAATTGAAGACCTGTGAAGTTACTCTACAGTAATTAGGTAACATTGCTCTTTCTTGTTATTTTTTTCTAAAAGCTCTTGGGTAATCCTTAAGGACCTATTTTAAAACAATTTTTGGTATGCATCTTGACTTTCTTGTTTACTAGAAAACAGTACAGAACAGTTATAATAATATAAGGAAGTCATATTTCATTCAACTCATCTGTTCACCATAGAACCTATGAACTAAAACTTATTTGCCCCACATACAGATATTTTTTTAAAGTCTGAATGATGCTGGAACACTCAACAAAGAACGCTCAAAGTTTCAGTACACTAAAAAGAAAAAATAAAGGGGAATTGATGCTAATTTCGTTTTTTAAAAACTGCTCTGAACCTTTTTAAACATATTAGGCACCCCTTCTGTTTGCTTACAACCAAACAAAATACGGGATCACTGGATTCTGAAATTTAAACAGATCTGTATCACTTTTGTAAGAAAGAGGGTAAAAATGAGATGGCAATTATATTTTAACCTTGTGAATATATTATCAACAAATTCTGCTTTGTCACAGCTTAAGGGACTATGATTGCTAGATGGTTCTGTTTTGTGATGCACTATGAGTTTTAAAGGAATAAGACTAAGAATCATTTTATAGAGGGACCGGGGAAAATAGTTACAAATCTTTAAAAATTATCTTTTTAATTGGGAAGAAAATCCAAGATTTTGAGATTTTTCTTGATAGAATGTTTTTATCCAACCTCCCAAATGCCTCCTGTGGAGTTCAATATAAAGATACACATCTTCAACAAGCAGCTGCTTTCTCAATTTAATTTGTGCAGTTTTTTCATGCTCCACTGGTGTATTAAATGCCGCTGTACTCTGTAGGAGTTTATCTTTCATAAACCCAACAGCTGGCTGCTTGCTTCATACTGACCTTCTCAAAATGTTTTAGTACAAGTCACACGAGTACTACTAGATTTAAACTGCCATTTTGGTGTGACTGGCACACAAGTGTATCATTTCCTCCAACCACTCATGTGAGGATACCAACTCGAGTCTTTATTAAAATACACATCAAACAGCTGAAACAATTTTGGTCCTTTTTAACACCTTTTGTAAATAATTTTTTGTTCATTTGTTTAGCTGCACATACTTTAGAACTTTGTAATTAAGACAAATCAAGAAATCAAAAAGGAATAATCTTCCTTGTTACTTTACCATCCATTTTGCTTGGAGCAATGATGACAGATGTTGATTGGGGAAAGGAGCAGAAAAACAAGCATCACATAAAACCACCATAAAACAGAAAGTCAGAGTTGTCATTCTAACATAAAAACTATTAATAGATTCTTTCAAATTCACATATTTTAATAAAGCAAACTAAGTAGAAAGATACTTCTCAAAAGACTCATTTCAGAATGGGAACTATATTAATCAATCGAATTTGATTTTGAAATGCCTTGTATTTGTAGTGCCTTTATAACATATACAACAAATTTACTTCCAGTATGTTATTTTCATTTCCTCACTTCTTCATTCAGTAATCAACTGCTAAGCATCTACTAGGACAGAGCACCCCAGAGATAGTCTGGAAGTTATAACGATGAACGTTAAGTGCTTGCAGCCTAGTTTCTGGCACATTATCTCTAGATGTTAGAGTATGCCTAATACTTCCCATAATCAGGTTTATAAGACCACTTAAGACAGGGTAAAATACTCTCTCTAAGAAAGGAAATAAAAATGTAATGACAGAATGTACTGATGGTTTTCTCATTAACTCACATCATTTTCTGCGTAGAGCTTGTGGCTCCCATTCAGAAACAGAAGGAAAAAGTCTAATTAGCTCATGTGATAGAAGTCAATTTCAAAACTTTTTCCATTCTTTTCATATATTGTTTCTTCTTTTCCCCTGTTTTGCATTTGAAGCTAGAATACTAAACAGCTTGTCAAATCTTGGCTTTTTTGCCTTGAATCAAGCTAGTGTTACATCCTTCAAACCATAACAAGACATCTAATTTCCACTGTAGCCTATAGGTGAGTGTGGACATCAACACAAATAAAATATTCAAATAGTATAAAAGAAGCTTTCCCAGGCTGCACCATCAAGGGAGGTGTCTGTATATGAAAGATCCACAGGAGTCAATACAAATCTCGCTCTGTAAATCTAAATAGTTAAAGAGGCCTCCCTTTTCTTCATTCAGAAACAAGTTTACAAGTTGCTTTGTGGGTTATGATAGCATGAAGAGACAGCTACTTTAAAGTTTTCAGATAAAACTTTCAAATTATTAACAAGAAAAAAGGTAAAAAAAAAAATTCTCGGGGCTGGCCCGGTTGCACAGTGGTTAAGTTCAGCGTGCTCCACTTCGGCAGCCCAGGTCTGCCAGTTCAGATCCCGGACACAGACCTATACCGCTCATCGAGCCATGCTGTGGTGGTGACCCACATACAAAATAGAGGAAGATGTTAGCTCAGGGTCAATCATCCTCACCAAAAAAAAAAAATACTGACAATAATTTTCCTCCCTAAAAGGAAGCTCTGTGTTTTCCAAAGTTGCCTTACTTATTCACCACAATTTACCATCATAAACCTCAACTCTCAGGACTGATGAGTTCCCAGAAAGAATTTATGCAGCTGGCAGCACTAGTAGCAGCAGCAGAACTAAAGAGACATTTACTGAGCACATATGTTCCAGGAATTGTACTAACTGCTTTACATAAATTATCACATTTAATCTTCTCAAAAGTGCTAAGGAAACTGAGGCATAAAAAGGTTAAATCACTTGCCTAAAACTAGTAAGAAAAGACTAGAATCCAAATGTAAGCAGTCCACCTTGAAAGTACACACTGCTGTATGAAACTTCCTAATTCTAGGCCAAAGTCAGTCCAAACATAAAATAATGCCCATGTCTATGACACCAACTACAGATTCATGTCAATACAGCAAATCATTTGTTATGTACTTATTTTATTTTATTTTTGGATGGGTGATGAGGAAGAAGTAAGAGGTTTAGACATTTTTCTTAGACATCAACACACAGGGATCTCCAAGAGTCCACTGACAATTCTATGCTATCCCAACAATCTTGTATGGCAACATGTCTCAAGGGCCTGTGTACCAACTGAGGCAAAAATAAGAAAAATAAAAAAAGTAATTTTTACTTTACCACAGTAAAATTTATTAAATTTAAAAGCCTATCCTTTATTTGGGGACAAAATGTATCCTACCCTTTTCAATGTTAAAATATGGGAAATGATAGTGATAATTTGTATAGGTTGTTTTGTTGTTCTTGTTAAAATATTAAACATGTCTGATAAAAAATACTGAAATATCCTTACATGGCAAAATAAAAAATTAAGCACCCCCTCTTAGGGGGGTGGGAGGGAGGTGATACAGGTAGTGATCCACAAAATACAAAAGATTAGGAACTACTATCTCAGTCATCCATCCCAGATGGTAATCTGGGGAAAAACATGAAATATGTCAACACCATTATATTGACATTGCTCAGATGTGATAATAAAGATGAGTGCGAATATACTGAAAACACAGGTCTTTGGGCCAGTTTTCAATTTATTTCTTCTCACCTCCAAATCTACCCTTCAATATCTGCTCTGCAATAATGGACAGAATCCCTTTAGCATTTCCCCTTTACAGTGGGCATGTCATAAACCTGTCTTAGCAGAGTGGTGGACAGCACTGTAGGAGGAAAGGGCTTCTCATCAGCAGGACGGGAGGAGGACATCCGCCAGTGTAATGCCCCAGCCATGTGCACTGTCCCTCAGTGACCTCACAGGCCTAGCCTGGAGATCACTTTTCTGTGGCTTTCTCAACACAGACATCACATATTCCAGCCTTCACACCAGTGTCCCGGCTCCCTCTGCACCTATGTTCAGCCACCTACTTGTCAAGAACTTCAGATCAGTTCCGGCCCAGGCAAACCAGCAAATACTTCTCTGCCATCCAGTAGGATGCAACTACGCCTGCTCCAACAAGGTCTGAACCCCAGCCTGGGGGAAGGGGTCATGCTTCTAAATTTGTTATTCCCTTGATACTCTCCCTTAGCCCTAAGAGATTCTTTAGAGTTCTTTTATATCTTATAGTTACTCTTTTATCATAGCCTAATAATTCTTTAAATTAAAATTCCCTTTTTTAAATATCTTTATGGATTACATCTCCTGATATACTCTTGAAGTCAGACAGATCTGGGTTCAACCTTGACTATTCACCAGTTTGTGGTCTTGAGAAAATTAAAATTACTTAAATGATCTGAGCCCCAAGTACTACACCTATAAAATGGGAAACTTTACTATTTGTCTTATCATAGGGTCATTATTAGGATTAAATGGGATTATAGATATAAAGGCAAATGTAAGTACTCAATAAATAGTCTCTCCCTCCTGCTCTGATCTATAGCCCATTGTCCATTTACTTTATGCCAAGAAGATACAAAGAAGCAATCAAATGAAAGTGTGTAACTCAGAAAATCATAAATAGAGCAGACAGAAGTAGACACATTATAAAGCAGGCATATTAACCCAACAGAATTATGATAACCTTCCAGCATCTGTCTCCTTGAAAATTCCATCCTGATTAGGACATAGTTCACAGCTAGGGGAAACACCACATTTACAGGCATCACAAAACCAAGGTTCAGTGGAGTTCTCAGAAGCTGAACTCATAATAGAGTCACTCTCTCCATCAACTCCATAACAACCTAAAAGAAAAAAAATAGTATGATTAAACAGTGTTTATTTTTTAAACTCACATTTATAAAAGCACAAAAGAAAAATGGAAGGGAAAGGACATAGAGAAAAATTCTGAAAAACTAATAGTTTATAAGAATGATATTAACATCAAAACAAAAGTGAAATCACTGTATAAAAATACTTTTTCACCTACCATAGTATATACAATGAAATAAATGACTTTTAAAATAGTTTTAGACCTACTAGAAAAGCATTACAGAAGGGGAAAAATGTATTGCTCTCTAAAATTTTTTTAATAAAAAAATTACTTAAATATGAGTTAAAAAGAAATCAGATTGAGTCTAGAAGCTATTGATTAGTAAATATTTATTGAGCTCCCTCTGTACTGGACACTAAAATATATATAATAAAGACCACATTCATGCAAAACAAACATACTAATTTTGGAGGTGGCAGATCAAAACACAAACTCATACAAGCATAAATGCAAAGCAAGTAACAGTAAAAGGAAAATAATACAGAAACACACATATAAATGAGGGCTACAGAACAATTTGAATAGTTCAGACTAGAGTTAGACAAGCTGAGCTCCATTGACAACTGAACCAACCAACCTCTAGCTATATGAGGTATTAGAACTTTTTAAACATTTATAATTGTATCTTCTGTAAAAAGTTATCCACAACTGAAATGAATGAAAATAAGAGATTACTCTTTTTCCTCTTCTCATTCACTAATAACTTGATATTCTGAGAGGAGTTAGTTAAATTATTTAAGCAGATAACATGAAAAAAATGTTTAAGGATCCTCATGAACACACCAACAAAGATTACTTAGCATAGTTCTAGGGTTATTATCCTTCAACTACCTTCCAATTATCAAAACCAAAGTTTCTTCATTAACTCAAATATACATCTGGAATTATAAATTATATTTAAAGTTATTATAAAGATCTGTCTAAAATTTTTATAAAATCAAAAAGATTTTCCTTGATTTTGAGCTTAAAAAGAGTAGATTACATGTCAAAGATGTAAGCCAACATGAAATTCAGGCCAGAACATCACTGTCAACATATTGGTAAGATCAGGTCCTCTTCATTAAAATTCCTGAAACTCAATTTTGTCCACGAATTCAGTGTTGATGAGGCTCTCAGTGCCTGACAAACCAACTAAACTTACCAGAAAGTGATGTCACATCCATTATAAGTAATTCTTTCTTGGTATAAAGGTACCGAGAAGAATGTATTGGCACCAACAAAGTCCTAATAATCATGGAATTCAATAAAGGGGAACTGAAAAGTTGAGAGAGAATTTCACCCGGACGATAAAAATCACGCTGAACTATTGATGGCTTATAATAAAGAGTATTTCTCTGGTGACTGCAATATTCATGACTCCTAAATATTTTCTTTTTCCTAAATGGTGCTGGACACACACCAACTTTATATAATCCAATTTCTATTCTTCTAGAAAGGAAGACACTGCCCTCACATTAAAACATCCTTCAGAGAAACAATTTAATGCACACAGAGTAGTGAAACAGATTACAACTTAATTCTAGTCCAGATGTATGCCCTCATCTTTAGGCTTGGGCATTTTTCTGATCTCCTAAGACAAATTTATTACCTCTCAAGATAGGTCGTTTCTATAGACAGCCAAATATCAACTATCCCAGGACGCTTCTGACCAGGTTTATTCGAAGAGGGTAGTCTTAGTGCCCAATTCTAAGGGGCATCCAGAGTAACCTCCAATAAACTGAAGACATTAGAAAAACCACTATGAGAAACATATATAAGGAATGATCACCTCTCAGAAAGCTTTACCACTTAGACAAGTTTATATGTACCCAATGTTAAGGTCATGTGATTATCTCAAGCGGTTATACACTAAACAGACCAAAGGAGCCTAAATTGCAAAGTGTCTTCTTACAACCACCAAAGACATCCAAATTAAAATCAACAAATAACTACATAAATAAATACTGAGTCAAACAAATCACCCAGGAAAAAAAAAGAACCATATACAACAAGCAAATAATTTTAAAATGTCAACATTAATTTACTAGATGTCATTAATAGGTCAACAGTCATGTGTAAGTATTTTATTCACACAATACTACCACTCAATACAGGTTATAATTAAAACAGCCCAGTAGGCAGAAAACTAAAAGCTGATTTGCAACTATAACTTACATAAGCTGCCTCAAGCAAATCCCATAATTATTGTCATCCTTACGCTATTCAAAGGCTTTATAATAGCGCAACTTAATCTGAAAGTCATATAAAAGAATGCCAAAGAAAAGATTTTAAAGGAGCTACACTACAGTATACAAGACAGCAAAGGAATCAAAACTCATTAATTTCTCTAATACTATTATATTGTGGCTGGTAACTTCATCACTTCTGTTTAGATATATATTTTAAAATGACAAATCATAAAATTAAAAGGAAATACAATTTTCTTCTTGGGAGTAACTATTGTTGATTGTCACCAATAAAATAAAATTTCTCAGTAAAAGCAACAGTAAGCAAAATACTGTATTCAAAGAAAAATCATAAAACAAAACAATAAAAATAGTCAATCTGTTTTCTCAAAGGCTTAAGCAATAAAACAAGGAAAAAGTCTATTTTCTTTACAAAATAATGTTCCTTTGAAGCAAATTCTTTCATCTGTCATCACACAAAGTAGGCAATTACCAAGATAATAAAGCCCCAAGGGGCTATCTGTTTTATTTACCAAAATCAAAGTAAATTACAGCAGTTCACTTTTTTAGAATAAAGGAAAATTTCAATTCTATTTTTTAAAGAATATACCACACACAGAGCAAACATTTGCACGAAGATTAAACTACCTACAAACAACCTCATGAATGATTTCTGAGGGCCTCTCCTAGGAAATTTCTACTTTGTAACCTAAGAGATTGGTATCATGCAAGCTCAAAGAACAACCAGCAAGTGGGTAAGTATTTCTTCTTCAGCTTCACTGGCCCTGAAAAATGACCCACACTGTATTATTACCTTTACAGAGTTCTTTCCTTGCCTTTCACTTGCCAATTTTCCCATATTTCCCATAGCTTTTGGGTTTACTCAGCTCTAGAGCAGTTCTATCACTTTATATCCACTCTAATCCATTTTAATTAATGACTAAATACATTTTAAATTCTTTTTTTCCTTCTTCCATACAAAATAGAATTTAAAGTATCATAAAACAATGTTTATTCTCTTCTATCTATCCTAGTAGACTATGCAAAAAGTGCATCTTCAATATGAATATGGAAAAAAAGGTTTATTTATACGAGTAAACACAAAAAATGAAAAATTTACAGACATGTAAAATCCATTTCATATGGATTAATCATGTTTCCAAATGAGTAAACAGAAAATACGCTTCTATGGCTATCTAATTAAGATCAACCTCTGAGTAACACCCGCAACCTATACAAATCATATTTAAGAAAAAACAATATGAAATGTGTTTACAATTGTTCTGAATTATACAAGGGAATGGATAATCCAAATCAGTGGAAATTTCCCCCATTCAACTTGTCACGGGGAACCAGAAGACCTGCAGTCTTCCACCTTCTAACTATGTAACTTTGAACAAACCGCATCTCTGAGACTGTTATCTCATCTACAACATGTATTTAATAATATCTATTCCAATATCTCTCAGTATAGAAAGGAAAAAAATGAGAACAGAAAAGTTGCCATTTAAAAACTTAAAAAACTTTTGCTGTATTTAACATCCTATCTCTAGACCTCTGATTACAAAACCTACTAAAAAAGATTTTAAAGTGAGTAATATTGTTGTTTATGAGAGAAGAACTTATAACATGCATGATACTTGTCACAAATATATCCTAAAGCATAAAAGAACCAGAGTGCCTGCTGACTTATAAAGTCCGAATGGTTATAACTTGAATATACTTTGCTACCCAACAAACACTCATGAGGATGCATTTTTGCATACATTAAGAAATAAAAATGTTCTAGGGCTAGGCTAACAGTAGACTGAAAAATAAACAAATGGGGGGAATGCATCTCTTGGTAGACCTTATCTCATTTAATGCATAGCAACTAAACTTAAGGGTAACTGCTGCCAAGTGCACTACCTAATGCTCTGTCATGCACTATGACACATATCTGACATTTGTCTTCAGACATGGTGCAATCAGTGTATCAGGATAAATGACATCACAGTCAGGGGTACCCTACTATTACAAGTCAGTTATAAGATCTTGTCACAAAGGTGTTTATACTAAGTGACAGGTTGGAACCCTTCAATTTCAAAAAGAAAGAGATTTATCTACATTTAAATAAAGTGAGCATTCAGAAATGTAATTAGTTATGCATTTAATAGGCAACATTTGGAATATTATCTTTTAGCAAAAATCTCAACTTAAAAGCCTCTCTTAATTATGATTAAAGAGTATATTAAAAAAAAAAAAAAAAAGGAAGAAAAGAAGGAAAAAAAAGAAAAGGAAATACACCAAAACAGTAACTATGGTTGTCTGGATATTAGGACTATTATAAACGTTTTTTCTTCTTTCTGTTCTACATTGCCCACATTTTACTTAATATTCATATATTATATTATAATGGGTAAACAGCTTTCTCTAAAATAACATATTCAAGAAGTTCATGTTTAACCATGAGATGTTGAAGGAAAAATTTCATGGCTGAATTACAGTATGGAAGTCTGTCACTTGGGGAGCTGGATTTAAAAAACGCAAACAAACCCTAGCAACACTAGCTTCCTGCAATGCTTCAGAAAATCTCCCTTTCTCTGAATTAATTAATTTTAGATGAAAATCCATTTTGGAACTTAAAAACTAGTAGAGAAAGATCTACATATCTGACTGTACAAAAATGAACATTCTAAACAATGAAAAATACCACAAAGTTAAAAGGTACAGGACAGGGTGGAAAAAATATTTGCAAGGATGGAAAATATTTATAACACATATAGCAGATAAAGGATTGACATTAAAAAAAAGAATTCTAATAAGT